TGCATGTGCTGAGGCTTATGCCAGAGCCTACTGCTGTTGCTCTTCTGTATGCTCAGCAGCAGCAGCAACTTATGCATGATAACATGGGAAGTGGCATTGAGAAAATTGCTCTGATATTTAACATAGGTGCTGGTTATTGTGACGTTGCCGTATCTGCCACTGCTGGAGGTGTTTCTCAAATAAGAGCACTCGCAGGTTGCACCGTTGGTGGAGAGGACATTCTTCAGAATGTAATGCGCCACCTTCTACCCAATTATGATAGCTTATGTGACAATGCTGGTCCAACTACGGACAGGATCAAGTCAATGGGTTTACTGCGGATGGCAACTCAGGATGCGATTCACAAACTGGCATCCCAGGAAAGCATTGAGATCAGTGCAGACTTGGGTAATGGCCTGAAAGTGTCCAAGCTGTTGAGTCGTGCAGAGTTTGAACAGGTGAATCAGGCGATCTTTGTGAAATGTGAGAGGATCATCAAACAATGCTTGTCAGATGCGAAGTTAACGCCAGAAGACATCAATGATGTGATCTTGGTTGGAGGATGTTCCAGAATTCCCAAGATTAGAAGCCTTGTCCCGGGATTATGCAAGAAGGAAGAATCTTATGGGAACATAGACGATCTTGAAGCCGCTGTTTCAGGTGCTGCACTGGAAGGAGCCATTGCTTCAGGAGTCACCGATCCTTCGGGGAGCCTAGATCTGCTGACGATTCAGGCGACCCCGATGAACCTTGGAATCCGTGCCGACGGTGACGGCTTTGCCGCGATCATTCCAAGGAACACCGCTGTTCCGGCAAGAAGGGACATGCTGTTCACAACAACACAGGACAACCAGGCCGAGGCGCTGATCGCCGTCTATGAAGGCGAGGGGAAGCAGGCGGAAGAGAACCATCTCCTAGGGTACTTCAAGATCACCGGCATCCCGCCAGCGCCCAAGGGTGCCGTCGAGATCAGCGTCTGCATGGACATCGACGCCGGCAACGTCCTGAGGGTGTTTGCTGGCGTCGTGAAGCCGCAAGGCGAGGTCACTCCGCCGTTCATGGAGGTGAGGATGCCCACGCTGGACGACGGCCATGGCTGGTGCGGGCAGGCCCTGGCGAAGATGCACGGCAGCAAGCTCGACCTCGCTGTTCTTCCTAAGAAGCTGCATCCGTAAGTGCTTTGCTTATCAATTTTTCAAAAAAAAGAGAAGTGCTTTGCTTATGAGACTGGCTGTGTACTCTAGTAAATTAGCTCGCAGATTGTGGTTTCGACGATGTATCATGTCGTGTGAGATCTCTATGTGGTACATGTAGACAAATAAATGCCAGTGTTGTCTGTGTACAATGTTGCCTTGCGTGTAAAATGGGATGTTGCTAGTAGTATAAATAAGAGCGGTCTAATTTGGACACCTTTGGTCTGTAGAATTTCCTCAAGTTTCTTCCCGCACAACACAATTGGCCACTCCTGTCCCATACCGCATATCCTTTTCGGCCCATCGTGCCTGTCTGCATTTCAGGAGGAAAATCTGAAAGATGCCTATGGCCGGTGACTGGATGTATACCGGCTGCAACAATCAGACGGCCAATGGGCGGCCTGGAACGGGCTAAATCATGCGTGTAAATGTCATGGGCAAGCACATCAGTGCTGGGCGCGAACGGTGCACGCATCGATCGGTGCTGACTTGGAGAATCTAGTGGACGACTTAACGATGCATGCACGCGTGTAAAGATTGGATCATGGGCGGACACATCGGTGCTGGTTGCAACGACGCGTGCATCGATCGGTGCTGACTCGGAAAAATCTAGTGGACGACCTGTACGGTCTCCGCTTGTCAGTGACACGAGGTCGAGGACGCGTGAATCGCCTGCTTCTACGTAGTCGTTATCTTTTTTTGATTTGAAAAGCTAGCCGCCGAAGCAAACAAGACTGAAAAGAGGGCGTCACGCCTGCCGTGGCACAGAAATTGTGCCATCCGCCGCTTGACTTGGGCGCCCCGCGTGGTTCAGAGGTCAATCGCAATGCCGCAACACTCGACCACGGTGGCTCTGAACTCCGAAACAATGGCTCATCGATCAGTACAGGTGTGCCGTAAACTAGTACGTATTTTTTTTTCTATATATAAGCAGTTTGCCTGTGAGGGGAAAGATGGCGTGTTTACGTTATCAGTTAGTACCTCAGAGTCAAAGCCCAGCCAGGACCGGACGTGTCTCGGAGAGGTAGTTTCCAGCTTCGCCCGACGGCGACCGGCCGTTGGTTCAGACTTCAGACACACCGAAACGCAAACCAAACCCAGAGATCGTTAGGGAGTTCCTCACGGAAAACCGGTGTTCTTTTTTCAGAGATCATACGGAAAACCGGTGCTGTGCGTACGTGAGACACCCATGCGTGGCGTTGACTGCGTACTCGCAGCATATTTTACTACACTATAAGCATACGGGCAGTGAAAAAGATCCTCACGTAACACGTACGCTGTTGTCGTGGCCCTCTGTGCTGCGCACAGTGTTGTTCTTGTTCGTAAGCTTGCTGAAGTTTCGCAGAAGTCATGGCCTGCCCTGGACAAAAGCTCCGGCTCGCTCGTGTCCCTTTCTGCTTTTGAGAACACGTCGCAGTCGGCCATCGGGTTGAACCAAGGATGCAAATTGCGGCGTCGCACGCCGTTTAAAATTCCCAAACGGGTGGGAGTTCTCGCGTGCAAACCGTGCCGAATTCCTGCATTTGATTTCTTTCGACCATGGGTGTATATTCTTTTCGAGGAAAACCATTTGATTCCCCTGACGGCATTATTCGGGGCCAGGGCTGCAGGGCTTCGGGTGTTGAATATTCAGGCGATAAGATTGGTTGACTTATCATATGACGGTATGAACTACGCAGCATCGGCCGCCGGCCGGTGAGAACGTGCAAATGGGCTTGGGTTGCTGGACATATAAAGATCAAAGCGAAATTCGATTTCGCGCAGATTTGTTATTTGGAGGAGCGACCGGTCGTTACTCGTTTAGCCCACATGCTCTAATCCCACGGCTTACGTTCATTTCCCGTGAGCCTAACGTGGATAATTAGTTGCGTTGTTTAGTCCTAATCCGCGGCGTGTGTTTCCTCTCAGAAGTACGCGAGATCGAACTGATTTACAGAAATAATGGAGAAGTTTAGAATACTAATTTGCAACGTTACCATGTGATGTATCATATCATGTCGACGAGGCTAGCTGGAAGGGAGATTTGATTTAGTCTGCTCTTGGTCGACATCGTGACAGTGGTATATTTATACAGCCGTATGTTGTACCATCGTATCTCGACGAAATCACTAATGTACAAAAGCTATGCATAAACAAGAACCAGTTGGCCAACACCACTTTCCCCTGTGGAAAAGTACACGCACGCATGCACTGTGGTAATCGCCGGCGAACGCCGACCAGGAGTCAAATTTCTTGTGCTTGCATGTACACTGCTATCCACATCGACGAACACATAATTTTCCCAAGCGAATCCATCCCCACGTGACGTATAAATTTCGTTAAAATGGTAACGTTCAAAGTCAAGGTCCTCCATTCACATGAACCAAGCCAGCAACAAGGAAGCTGCGCCCGTTGCTGACACTCCGGAAACTCGGACAGATCGTTCACCGACATGTGGGCCCATCCAGCGATCTCGTTGTCAAGAAGGTCGGCGTCCGATAAGAGAATATCCTCAAGGTTTTCCGTGCTGCTCTCCAGTTTTCTTTTCCAAAAAAGGAGCCCATAAAGGCTTACTACTAGAAGGGTTTGGTTTGGATAAGCCATAATTTGTGGGAGGAACGGAAAAGTCGTCGTGCTTGTGCACGCAGTGGTGCATGCTCTGGCCCGTGGGCCGTGGAGCCGTCCGTTGACTGGGCAGCCAGCGAGCTGCGAGCGAGAGAGCCGTCGTGCGGGCCCCACCGCACGATCGTGGAGGCGACGTGGCCTGATCTGGCCGCTCGGTTGCGTTTGAAATTTCTTAGCGCAGTGGGCTTCCCTCCCTATATATACCCCAGGGACTTGGAGCCTTGTGTCCCATCTCCAATCCCCTTCCTTTGGCTGCTCTCCTCGTGTGGCTCTGCGGAGAAACACTCGCTGCTTGTCTAGCTTCCATTATATCGGCGTAGCTTGACCGGCCGGCTTGCGAGGATGCCGGGCGGAGGGTTCGCTGTGTCGGCGCCGTCCGGCGTGGAGTTCGAGGCCAAGATCACGCCCATCGTCATCATCTCCTGCATCATGGCGGCCACCGGCGGCCTCATGTTCGGCTACGATGTCGGCATCTCAGGTAACCCGATATACTCCTATACTCTACATGTCCATGCAGTTTTTTCCCGCGATCGATCATCTCCCTCCATGCATGTGCGTGCGTTGCGTGCTCCCGTGGTAGCTCTGGAAAATCATGTCAAATCCGCCTCACATGCATGGTTTAGGGTTCCATGCCGTCCTCGTCGATCCGCGCGTATGTTATCCATAATGGAACCACGCATGAAAGAGAGGAGTTTAATTGACTCCATGGCTATGGCGTTTACTTGTGGCTGCCGTCTCTCCTCTTCATATGGCGAAGCAGATAACCACGGATAATTGGAACGAAGTTAATGCAATTGATCCTCCTCATTAACTACCACGCACCGGCCAGCCGATAATTCAAACTCTTTCCTATTTACTCCATTGTGAACACTATCCAGTTTTCTGGCCAGGATCATGCATATATACACGCTCCTGTGCTAGCTGTATGATTCTGTGACTGATACCCCGTATATATAAGAATTAATATTATACTATATTTGGAAGAAAGTAGAGAGTAACTGCTGCCATCTTGCCACCTACTTTGATAGGCTGTTAAGTCAACCCATTTGTACATCTTCAGATCACGTACGTCTGATTCAACAAAGCTGTCTTTTGTGTGGACACGTTGCCTTTTGGTGTAGTGTAGTATTAATGAATTCTTAGTAAAACTAATTAAGAAAATCTTATCCATTTCTTTCACAGCGTCCAGCTCGATTAACAGCCATTTCTAAGATCCAAAAACTGATGGTTTTTGCAGGCGGAGTGACATCGATGGACGATTTCCTGCGTGAGTTCTTCCCGGCGGTGCTGCGCCGGAAGAACCAGGACAAGGAGAGCAACTACTGCAAGTACGACAACCAGGGCCTGCAGCTCTTCACCTCATCGCTCTACCTCGCCGGCCTCACCGCCACCTTCTTCGCCTCCTACACTACCCGCCGCCTCGGCCGCCGCCTCACCATGCTCATCGCCGGCGTCTTCTTCATCATCGGCGTCATCTTCAACGGGGCCGCCCAGAACCTCGCTATGCTTATCATCGGCAGGATCCTGCTCGGCTGCGGCGTCGGTTTCGCCAACCAGGTTAGCACAAATTTCCACCAGCTTCAGAATTGTATATTTTTTTAATACCAGTAAGCAAGGTTACGTACGTGTACGCAGCAACATTTGATATGTACGTACTCCTAGGTAACTTAAGTCAAAAGATCTTGGTAGAAACCGAAGTCAAACATGTAAAGCTAGCGGTGGCTTGTTTGAGAAAAATACTCCCTCCTTTCCGGTTTACAGGGCTCATCTCAATTTTTTCGTTTTTTCAATTTAAAGGGCTCATCTCCATCTCCTATTGAGATTTCAAGGTGCATTAAATCTTTGCATGTAGTAATTAAAAAGGAACTCCCCAATGCATGTAACTTTCATACTCCCTCCGTCCGAGTTTATTAGGCCCGTGGGCAACCGGACGCTGTCCCTATTTACAAGGCCCTCATGCAACCGGAGTATTTTCTCCACGCCTCGTTTCCTTCATTCGCACTTAATAAGGCAACAAATAGCTTGATTTTCCTTTATCAGCTGGCGCATGCGTCCCTCGTATTGGGTACAGCCGCTACATTAAAGTGAGCATGGGGCTGCATGCAGGTAGGTGCGCGCATGCAGCGAGATTTGATTGTTTTGGCAGTTAATTTGGTGCAGAAGCCGAAGTATAATGGTGCTAATTCGAGGGAATTATTAGTTCTGCCTTGGTACCTGTAATTTGGTCTAAGGGCCCAATAAACCCGGACGGAGGGAGTACTCATCTAGTAGTCAAGCATGCATGCACTATAATTAATTCAAATTAATGCATCATTTTAATTTGGGTAGTTTTGTAAAGTACAAGATACATTCCTCCATACATCAAGTGTCTTGGTTGATGAGATTTTAAATTTGAGCCTTATAAACCGAAAAAGAGGGAGTATGTAGTAATAGCACGCATGCGCGAGACATAATTTTCCGTGTCTATGAAAATGACGTAACCCGTGCGCAGTTTCTTCCTCGTTTGCTGGCAATTAGTCACCGTCCACGTCCACGGTAGCATCAAAGAATCTTTGGACCAAAACTAAACCTACTGGTCCTACCAGTTTTTACGTCCAGATTAATGCTCTAGATATGAACTACTGTTGCATTTTATACGTACTAGCTGCAGTACGTATGTAGTAGGAGTACATCGTATCCGTCTCATGTTTCCCGGAATTTAGGGGTCAAACGTACAAACCATGTGGCGGTGCATGACTCGTGTTGGCGCACGAGGACACCTTCCATTGGTGGCATCGCCTCACCTCTCGCGATAAACTTGTTAAGTTCAAGATTCCGATGCTGGCCGCGACTCCAGGCTTAGAAATTACTGGCCCAAATGGTAGGAGAAGCTTGGGCCAACCAACAGGTGATAGGTGTAAGCTTGCAGCTTATCTCGTTGGCTTCTCTTGGTTTTACTAGTCTGCTGGTGTGGCTGCCCTTCTCTTTAGTTGTCCCAAGTTGCTATCAACTTGGACTAGTTGTAGAATATACAAACACAGCGGCTTTGGATTCTTCTGTTTTTGGCTGTCGAAACTTTTATTTTAGTACCGAAATTGCTTCACGGGCGATACTTCCGCACGATCTGTGAACGATTCTTCCTTCACGTCCAAATTTCATGCTTGCACGCACGCCGAATCGCTGTCATGGAGGATCGTTCAGGCATCGGGCGCAAATCTATCATGTGCATAGCAACGCTCTTTTAGTAGCAGCAAGCAGGTGCGGTTGTTCACGTCTAGGCCACACGGGTCGCAATACGAAGCGGGCCTACCTGATAGAGTAGTTCTACATAAACTTAGATGCTTGTTGGACCAAAATTGTATCTTTGATGCTTGACTTGGAGGTGCACTTCGCTTGGACTCTTCGTCGAACACTGAAAAAAAAAAAACAATGTGTCTATGGCCTGTACCTCGTAGCGGGGAGGTTTCTCGATTGAAAATGCCAAGAATTTGTGCGCTAGTGATGCATTAGATTACTACACGGATCAACGCACTGATTGAGCGTCAGTTAGGGATGTCAACCGGGTCCTGTTTAATCCCGTTTAAAGTTCACTTATAATATGATAGTTCAAATAGGTTTTTTGTTTGTTTGAAGAAAATGAAGTATCAAGCTAGCAAAAACTAACTAAACGGAATTGTGGACGCCATTTATTTGCCACCTACATCCCTAGCGTCAGTTTGCAAATTATGCACACACTAACCGACTAACGTACAAAATAATAACATAACGTACTTGTGTATAATAGGAGTATATAAACGCATCTAGACTCAATTATGTAGTACGAAGCAGGCAAGACAGCATGCATGTGTGCCAGAACTGGCTCGAGTAGGAGTAGATCATTAGTCCAACAATATTTTATTACTTAATTCCAACGCTTCTGATTAGACCCGCTGATTAAGAGATTCCGATGGTGATAGGTGGTGCGCTTCTGACACTTTATTTGTACGGTCACTGATTTTCTTGGCAGTAGGAAAGCATGCTAGGTGATTTGTTTTAGCGTAGTCACATGCTAGTAATATCGCAAGAAAAGGGGGAAAAAGGGAAGAGAACCTTCTGGGCCCAATGGGCCTCGTTAAGGCCGTCTGCATTTGACGACCCATTTCGTGATTTCACCGCCTCTTAAATAAAAAACTCTAACGAAACGAACAACTGTGGTGCAGGCCGTTCCCCTGTTCCTGTCTGAGATCGCGCCGACGAGGATCCGCGGCGGGCTCAACATCCTGTTCCAGTTGAACGTGACCATCGGCATCCTGTTCGCAAACCTGGTCAACTACGGCACCAGCAAGATCCACCCGTGGGGCTGGCGGCTGTCGCTGTCGCTGGCTGGCATCCCGGCGGCGATGCTCACCCTGGGCGCGCTCTTCGTCACCGACACCCCCAACAGCCTCATCGAGCGCGGCCACCTGGAGGAGGGCAAGGCGGTGCTCAAGCGGATCCGCGGCACCGACAACGTGGAGCCGGAGTTCAACGAGATCGTGGAGGCAAGCCGCATCGCGCAGGAGGTGAAGCACCCGTTCCGGAACCTGCTCCAGCGCCGCAACCGCCCCCAGCTGGTCATCGCCGTGCTGCTCCAGATCTTCCAGCAGTTCACGGGGATCAACGCCATCATGTTCTACGCCCCCGTGCTGTTCAACACGCTGGGGTTCAAGAGCGACGCGTCGCTCTACTCGGCGGTGATCACGGGCGCCGTCAACGTGCTGGCCACGCTGGTGTCGGTGTACGCCGTGGACCGCGCCGGGCGGCGGGCGCTGCTGCTGGAGGCCGGCGTGCAGATGTTCCTGTCGCAGGTGGTGATCGCCGTGGTGCTGGGCATCAAGGTGACGGACAAGTCGGACAACCTGGGCCACGGGTGGGCCATCCTGGTGGTGGTCATGGTGTGCACCTACGTGGCCTCCTTCGCCTGGTCCTGGGGCCCGCTGGGGTGGCTCATCCCCAGCGAGACGTTCCCGCTGGAGACGCGGTCGGCGGGGCAGAGCGTGACGGTGTGCGTCAACCTGCTCTTCACCTTCCTCATCGCGCAGGCCTTCCTCTCCATGCTCTGCCACCTCAAGTTCGCCATCTTCATCTTCTTCTCGGCCTGGGTGCTCGTCATGTCCGTCTTCGTGCTCTTCTTCCTCCCGGAGACCAAGAACGTGCCCATCGAGGAGATGACCGACAAGGTGTGGAAGCAGCACTGGTTCTGGAAGCGCTTCATGGACGACGACGACCAACACCACAACATCGCCAACGGCAAGAACGCCACCGTCTGAAAAGTGTTGCTCCTACTATGTAACGCTGCCTGCCTGCCTGCACAACTCGACTTAGAAAGAGGAAAGATGGATACTGAGCTTTATCGATCGATCTCATCTCGAGTGCAGACACTTTCAGTCGCGAGCCCAACTATTACACTGCTTCCATGCGACGAGGAACAGCGGGCAGTGTGGTAGTAAACCTTGCAGTTCTATATACCCCCTCGGTCCCAAAATAACCACGTCAATTATTTTGGGACAGAGGGCAGCAGTGTAGAGTATTTCGATGTTTCTTGTTTAGTAGTAGTAGTATCCTTTATGTGTCTATTTGTTTGGAAGTTGGTCTCTGTCTCTCTGACAATGCGAGCCTACCTGTATACAGCACCTTGTAAAACTGATGTTGCGATTCGTTAATGCACAGCAGTAATGTTCCACAATCACCTCTCTTTTAGTCAGCTATGTCATCATCCGCCCTTCTAAAGTGCTAGCAGGTTTTTGCCTACCGAACACTTGCAGCAGGTTTCTTGTTAATGCTCAAGCTCTGTTATTCTGTTACAAACTCTCTGGTCGCTCCTTGTGACCAGCTCCTTATTAACAGTGGGAAAGAATGGTTGCTAAACCTGCTGATTAATTGTAACGATGACGAGAGCGACGTGTTCTTATGCTTATATGGCACATCTCGCAATTACGGAGTGATCTTACTCACGATAAAGAGGTTCCCTCGATGGCTGCTACGGTGGACTTTTTGGAGAGTTATATGAAGTATATTGGAGATGCTAGTAAGTATAGAACAGAGGAAATTATTAAGGGTAAAATGCCGGCCGGTCGATGATTGGACTTTACCTGAAGTAAGAGTGGTCGCAGCTCCTAAGCTTTGGCTGCGTCCTCCCACTGATTACGTTGCTCTGTCAGTGGATGGGTCCTTTTCAGGCTAGTCTGGTGCAGCGGCGGCAGGGATAATTCTCCGACATCACAATGGATCAGTTATTTTTGCTGCATATCGGTTTATTTTCAATTGCAATGATGCACTGGAAGCGGAGTTACATGCAATCATGCAAGGAATGGCCCTTGCTTTACAACATTCTAACCTTCCAATCTGATTCAAGTGAAGCTTTGTCTAGTCTTATAGGAGATGGACTAGTTCGTTCTGCCTATAGACATGTGGTGGCTGAAATTAAGGAGTTGATAAAAGACAAGGAGTTTATTCCTCTGAAATTATGTAGGGATCAAAATAGAGTTGCTGACCGTTTGGCAAATTATAGTCGTTGAGAATATACCATGGCTGTGTGGTTGCACCTTTTTTTTAAGGCAAAGCAAAGCTTTATAGATTAACCTAACACACAAACAACCACTGAAGGCGGTACAATAGTGTTAAACTCCATACAATCACCAGGTAGACACATACGACCTATTTGGCCTAACTCATGTGCTACAGAATTTTCATTACGCCTACAAGCACGCACTCTGTGATGCGCAAACCAAAGCTTCAGCTGGAATTTGATGTCTTCGATGATTACATCATATGGGGAGGAGTCGACCTTGCGGACGTCCATTGCATCAGCCAGCAATTGCGAGTCTGTCTCAAAGACTACTCCGATTGCTCCTATTTCAGCGGCAATGGTCACTGCGGGGCCATTGCATTTATTTCCGCCCCAAACGTGTCCTGGGTGTTCTCCTGCCGGCCTGCGCGGGCGGCGACGACCTCGCCTGCTGCATCGCGGACCACAGCACCCCAGCCACAAAAATTACTGGCCGGCGTAAAGGCCCCGTCCAGGTTTATCTTGAGCTCATCTCCATTTGGTGGATGCCACTTCCCAGCAAGATTTTCCTTTTGTTTGAGCACGAAAACATGTTCATACTCAAATGCACTGCTTCTCACCCGGCGCACCACCTCAGAGGCACTGAGCGCCATCTCCCCTTCTCGCACTTTATTTCTGTTATTCCACCACTGCCACCATGAGGTGACGATTAATACTCGCTTTGTCTCCTACAGCTTCCACGAAGAGTCCAGCATTGCATGCACGTTGTTGATTTTCTCAAGCTCCGATCTCTCAGTTTCGAGACCAAGCTCTCGCCAAATTTGTTTCACATGCTTGCACTTAATAAATAGGTGTGCTCCATCCTCCTCATTCCTACCACAAAACAAACATTTGGAGTTCTCCAGTTTAATACCTCTCCGCTGCAGGTTCGCACATATGGCCAGGGATTCATGTCTGATTCTCCATACGAACATCTGTAGCTTCCTCGGACATGGCATCTTCCAGATCCATTTCCTGTTTGGTCTGTATGTCTTTCCAGTTGTCCAGCAGCAGAGGAATTCGACCCTGGGGCGCCATTCTGCTCGTGCCTGCGTAGCTCGACATGCACTTTGTATGCGCTTTTAACAAAATGATTCCCTTTGCTGTCGAAGTGCCATGCTATGAAATCGTCCACTCCGTCCCTAAGTGGGATTTGTAAAATTAGCCTGGCATCCTCGGCACAAAAGGTATCTCTTACAAGTCTTTCGTCCCACCCACCAGAAATCGAACAGATTAGCTCCTCCACATGAGTTAGCAGGCTTGGTCCCCTAGGTGTGATAACCGGCCGCGACCAAGGCCTTGGCAACCAAGGATCATTCCAGATATCCACGCTGGAACCATCACCTATTCGCCAAATATACCCCTGCTTGATAAGCTCTAATCCGCGAAGAATGCTCCGCCAGGAATATGAGATGCCATCATGGGGGATCGCCTCCAAGGCACTACAGTGGGGAAAGTACCTAGCCTTGAGCAACTTGGCGCACAAACTCTCCGGGTTCTGAATCAACCTCCAACCCTGTCGAGATAACATGGCAATGTTGAAGTTGTGCATTTCTCGGAACCCCAGGCCGCCCATAGCTTTAGTCTGTGTCAATTTATCCCAACTCAACCAATGCATAGGGTTCTTTTTGTCCTGTTGGCTCCACCAAAATTTTCCCAGTAGGGTGTTCAACTCAGTACAAAAAGTTTTAGTTAGATCAAAATTTAGTTAGATCAAAACATGACATTGCAAAGGTTGGGATTGCCTGTGCCACTGCTTTAACCAGGGCCTCCTTACTCTCCTTTGCCAGCAGTCGCTCTTGCCAACCATAGACCCGGCCACACATGCCCTTTTTGATATAAGCAAATGCTTTTTTCCTGGATCGTACCACATGAACAAGGAGCCCGAGATACCTATCGTTCCAGTTTTCACTCATGATGCCTAGAGAGCTCTTGATCGAGTTCTTATCCACCTCACTGGTGTTAGGGCTGAACATTATAGCTGACTTCTCTATGTTGATACACTGCCCCGAACACGCTTCATACAATTGTAGGACCTACTGTAATGCTTCTGCCTCCTGCTTATTTGCCTTGAATAGAAGCATTGAGTCATCAGCAAAGAACAGATGTGAGACACATGGTGCACTCTGGCACACTCTAACACATTCACGCTACCTCTCTGTTGGGGATATAACTATCAGGCATGACCCGCCCAAGAGGGGCCGGGTCATACCTAAGGCGATTCATTATTATGAAGCCCACGAAGATACTTGAAGATGGCGGTTCAACTAAGGGCCCAAGGCCCAAAGGTGACTTAAGGCCTGTAGAGATAAACCGCCATGTATGTATGACTTATATTGTAAGGCAAGAATAGATAGTCACCGAGCCGGACACTGTTTATGAGCCGGCCGGGACTTTGTGAGCCGCTGGGAGTCGACCTCTGTATATAAAGGGACGACCCGGCGGCAGTTCAGGACAAGTAACAACAGATCGAAAACTAGGTCAAGCGGATTCGCTCCCTGGTAATCGAGACATAAGCAATACCACCCAAAATTGGATTGTAGGCTTTTACCTTCACCGCAAGGGGCCGAACCAGTATAAGCCCCGTGTCCTTTGTACCGATTAACCCCTTTAAGCTTCCTAGTTGCGATGGCTCCACGACTAAGTCCTTTTGCTAGGACATCTGCCGCAACCTTTCCACAATAGTTGGCGCCCACCGTGGGGCCAGCGCACGGTGGGTTTGAGTTCTTGAAGGGCAGCTTCGAAGGGCTCAAAGGATACGCTGTGGGCCGGATGACCAATAGTCGTCGCGGCAAGCTCTACATCGACGACGCAGGCTGGGGCCCCGAAGCTGGCTCAATAGAGTACGTGTACAGGGTCCCCTTCGGCGGAATCCACGTCTTCATCAGCAAGATCGACGAGCCGGGCCCTGAGCCAGACATCTGCACTGACATTGTCGAGACAGCGTGTGAGACCCGCCCGAGCTCAGCCCGCCGTGAAGCGTGCCTTCGTGCGATGCATCCATGGAGGGGAATTTTCTGAAGGGTCTGTGTCTGGCAGTGAGACGGCCATCTACTCTGATGGTGAGTCGTCCACGGGTGAGACGGATTCATTGTATCAACTGCAAGATGGCGGGCTTGGGGGTTGTTCCGATGGCAGTAGTATTCGGACCCCTTTGAGCCGCCGAGCAGAGTCGGGATCTTCATGGTGGTACCCAGCCTGGGCTAAATTCTTCAATTGCGGCAACAATGACTTCTGGGCCAGCAGCGATGACAGCAACCGGGACAGGAGGCCCTGTGCGCCCGCTGGCTCAGGTTTTGATGTCTCTGATGGATAAATTGACGGCTCTGCTAACAGCCGTGGTTAACCCGGTGAATCAAGTTCAACATGATGTGGAGGTAGCGCAGCTACGTGAGGAGATAACACAAGCTAAAGAAGACTTGGCGGCAGAGGACGTCAGGATGACCGTGGAACGGGCGACTCTGGATGCCGAGGCTCAGCAGATTCAGGCGCAGACCTTTCAGCTTACAATGGATCAGAACAGGTCTAATGAGGTCATGAGAAGAAGGCACCAGTCCCGTCTGCCTATGGTGTATGAGCCTAGAAACCTTTTCCGCACGCCTGGTGCAGGGCCCAGTAACCCGCCGGAGGTAAACCGGACTGCGGCACCTGGGGCAGGAACACCGGTTCAGCCACGTGTGATGGAACCCCCACGTCCGAATACTGCTTCGCTTCAGCATGTAC